GACGTGGAACCACCTACGGCCTCGGAGGTTTACGACTGCATATGTTCCCTCAAGTGCCACCGAGCTCCCGGTCCGGATGACCTTCCACCCGCACTGTTCAAAGACGGGGGTGAAGTCCTCAGTGCTTGCTTGTCCGATCCGTTCGCTTGCATTTGGGAAAAGGAGTCTGTCCCAGACAACTGGGGAGAATCGGTGATAGTGCCGATAAACGGGATTCACAACTGGGGAGAATCGGTGATAGTGCCGATAATAAAACGGGATTCATTATTCATTACTTTGGTTCCCCTGAAAAAAAAGTAACAGAACACTGGCAGGAAGCGTCGCGTATCATTTGGTGGATGGTTCGTTCCGTCAGCAATATAACAACACTAGATATAACTGTAAATCTAGACTGTACTGACGTTAGACAGAAGCAAAGAACAACGACGTCTGGCATATCTATTAAGGGGGCATTGTGGGTGCGCTATACGCGCGTAAGAGCGTCAGCCACTGGGATGTACGCAGTCTAATGTTTTTGGGAGGACATATCCTGTAGAAGCTGGGAAAAAGACATTGATTCTCAAAACTGAGTTTACACCACGTTCCCTTGTATTGTAGTAGGACACAAGTAGAACTAAAGGAAGCTTTGAGCATCCCATTGGATTAGGGACACATGTACTTGTTTTCCAGTTAGGTTCCACGAAAGCATCATGCAACGCCTTTGCGTTCAGACGTTATAGTATATGTTATAGCATAGTGCATCAGATGGCAGTCAGTTTGTTCAACAGGGCTTGTGCTTTGAATTCTCCGGCAGTGAAGCATCGGTGTTGAACACTGATGTCATGCTGTCGATGATGATGATGAATGTGTAACACGAGATAGCTCAGTGGTTAAGGCGCCAGCTTACAGACTGGAAAGTTCCTGGTTCGAACCCAACAAGAACATATCGACTGCTCCTGTCTAGGTTTGGGGGACCTCGCAGTATCCCAGCCCTCATGCCACCTCCCGCTGGCATGGCAGCTAGGTGCCGAAAGGGTGCTACAGCTGACGGATTAGATTTTTTATAATTAGCGTAACACGACAGCAGTAGTAAGAACATGCGGGGAGAATCCATCGATCGATAGTTGATTTGCTATTTTCTCACTTTTAGCGTGCAAATGCGGCACACTAACGGAAGTCGCACTTTGAGGCAAAACCGAAAAATAGAAGACCGCTAAGCGCCCTTTCCTGCTTTATGGATGAAAGCTCGAGGATGCTTCACAGATCAACTTGGGGCAATCAACCAAATAATTATGTATCCGCGTATCTAAGATACTGCAGCCCGTGGTGATTCAGAAACGAATTAGTGGCAGTCCACCAACCTGTTCTCTGCGTTGGTTCACGGACGCTCTGTGGGCCGCAAAAACATGGTTTGCTACAATCAAACCTGACGGACCGTTACTTGAGCAATAGTGGATCGAAGGTGCCCATGTTTTGCCACCGACCGTTACACGTGTGGCTAGTGTGACGAGAGGGAGTAGGTTGTTCGTCATCAGTAAAAAGGGCACTGAACGTCAGGGTTCAGGGACTGAAAAGATTTCCCTAAATCTCAATTTCTAAGCAGTCTGGTGAAGTCGTGCCAAGGTGGACCACAAAGCGAAGGACTCGCATAGAGGTTTAAGGTGATTACCACTCGAAGTAAACGTCAGAATAACTGAAGTGATGAAGTCTTTGCAAAAACTAAGTTCGTTGGGAATCTTATCGTAAAAGTTTTACGGCTGAGCAGGACTTTTTTGAAGAGCCGAGTGAGCAATAAGCTTATCACGGATTTCTGACCCTACCAAACTCGACTGGCCACAATGAAAAAGAAAACTTTAGCAATGGCTTGGTAACTATCGCAAAACTCCCATTTCAATGAGCAGAACATTCCGTGCACGACACGCATTAAAAAGAATAAAAAGAGCAGAAGATCAAGGGTTACCTGCGTAACTTGACGGCTCTCGTGGTTACCTCTGAGCAGAGTGATCCGATCGGGGTACTTGGCCTTCAGGGCGAGAAGGAGCGTGAGTGTTTCGAGGCTATAATATCCACGGTCAACAAAATCACCCATGAATATGTAATTTGTATCCGGAAGTTCACCACCGGTACGGAATAACTGCAGGAGGTCGTAGAACTGTCCATGAATGTCCCCACAAATTGTTACAGGGAAACTGACAGGCTGTACATTGCATTCTTCGATCAGAAGTTCGGTTACATAATTGCACAGCTGTCGCAGATCATTTTCTGGTAAGTATTTACATGTTTTCACTGCTTCTATCCACTTATCTACATCCATAACGATTCCTGTGAGCTAAGCTACAGAGGACATGCGTCGTGAATCCACGTTCAGCACGGCCGTAACCACTGAACTGTCATTGGCCGAAAAACCAGCCAATCAAAAGTGGCCAATCAGTTATCCGGGCGGTGGCTCTCAAACTGCCGGAAGTATTGTGGAAGCTCTTGGCTACAACCTCCGTTTTTGATAACGACTTTATACGGTTTCTCAATATGAGGGGCATGTCTACCTGAATATTTAGAACTCATTGGTCTTGGTCCAAGTATACTGATCGCACAAATTACTTAACATTCACGGATTCACGGAATGATACGCAGGATCGATGCACTCGCCCGGGATTGCCAGGTCGTTTTTGTTCTTTTCGTTCAATGGCTGTCGTTCACCTGAAAGGCACAGGCTAAAAAAGGGTGTATTACAGCTTTTTATGCTCTCAGCGTGGGGCAGTATGCTTGCCAGCGCGAGAACTCGCACGAATAGGTGTTGATTCCCCATGTGAATCAGCGGTGAACAAGGGCAACTTTCTATGTTTTATGACTACCCATGAGTAACATGACTTACACTCGGTTATTATGACATTGTTTCGTTTTCTTGCTGCTCGTTTCCCCCGTTTCGTTCCTGCTTAAGTTCTGCTTATCTCTCAGTAACTGATGTCAATATTTTGTTTCCCGTCCGTCATTGTCTGCAAGTTCGTCCCGATTGCACCTATTTTCGAGCGCCCACTCCTATGGAAAAGCGAGCCGACCGGGTATCCAACCCGGGTCCTCCGGACGGCAGGCGAATGCGCTACCAATTACACCGGCCTGACGCCCGGAGCGGCTGATTATTTTGTATTACCTATGTATTGCGCCTGACTGATAGCTCTTGCTGAGCTTTGCCTTAAACGGACGAAACCGCGCAATCTGACCTGTCAGGCGACACGAGAGGCTGCGTCGACGCCAACCGAAAGGCAGTCCCTCACATCCCGAAACTACTCACTTTTGCGCCGTTACGGCCAACTCACACTGTCAGACTGCCCCTATATGTATGTTTGTACATCGTTTGGTACTTACTTGTTGTTGTCCCTTTAGAACTCCGTGCTGCGTCAGTGACTATTTCCCGCCCCTGCTGATTGCGTCATTGTTGACTGTACGTTTGCTTAATTCATGGTGCTTACTAATCCGTTTGTTTGTAGAACCGGTTCCTGTCAGTCCTCAATATATCACCTGCTGCCCCACGCCTGTCTGCTCCTATTGACTACTGGCTGCGAACTGCGTATAAGTTAATGGTCGAAATCGCCCTGTGAGATCCATATCCGCAAGGAGCTTACAATAGGTTTCTAATAATACAATGTATCGGGCTATCGAAGGAGCGTGGACAACCGTATGGGGAAGCCTATTCCGCGCAGCTACTACCGAACTTAGAAAAAAATTGTGCACGATGAGTGGTGCAATTTGAGCTAGGTCGACGGTGAAAAACCTGCTGGCGAAACCCTGTTCAAACAGGGCATACGTAAGAATCGGGTCTCATCGGAGGCAGAAATTCTCGAAGAGAAAGAGGCCAAGCACCACAAGATTCGTTATGTATTCTGCAGATTTAAGGCGAGTAACATCACAGCAGAAATTTGGAATAATTTTCACCATGTCCTCTCCTCGTATGTCAAGCGTGTCAAGTAATTCAGCTCGAAAAGTGCGCCATCTCGGTCTTCTCAGGCCGCTGTAATGTGACTTTCAATTGTGTGGGGGCGTTTCCAATGTTTGCCGAGAGGTGTTCCAAGACCAATCTACAATCAGTCGACGCGCTTTATCAATGCTTCCAGCGATCGGACGCAAAAAGTGAACATTAGACAGGTGCCACGATTGTTATGCATTTTTAAACCGGCAACACTTAGTGCTGTTGAAGATGTAGATACCCTTTCGCCACATACATGATTGTACAGGTCACCGCCACTCGCTGGATCACGAGATCGTTTTTTTTCCTTGCACTCACAAATCACGCTACAATCGTGACTAACTTGACTACACAGCTCACAGTCAAGCCCTTCATCCCAAGACCTCGTTTTTTCCCCTAATAGTACAAACCACGATACACATCCGATATCGACTGTCTACCGTCTGATACGGTAGCAAAAAGTCATGTGCTGACACCCACACACACGCAAACGTCCTACAAATAGGATGCCAGCACAGCAACACGACACAACTCAACAGAGCTTCGCACGTCGCCCAGCCCGGAGCAGAGCCGCTCAGGATTTTTACGGCGTTTCACTCACGGGTATCCAAGACTATGCGGCTGTTACAACAGCGAATAAGACACGAAACCTGCATTCGGATTTACAACAGGATTTATCAAACTGTACCTGCAAAACGATAAGTCCCTTGTTTGCATACATATATTGTAATAATTTTACTCAACAAGCGGACATTGTTAGTACTCCCCATTTTCCCGTTCGTATAACTAGTTTTCGGGTTCCCTTAGAGCATTACCAAATTGGTGAGCCCAACGTTTTTGAACTCACGTGACTTCTGACATTTTTTTCGTTTGGACTTCCATATGTCCATATTTCCATTCATGTCCGACACACCCACGGCTCAGTCACTAAACCCGCTATTACC